TTCCCATTTAGACCGGATTTTCATTTTAATTACCACCTCAATTTCCGATGGTTTCGATTCATTTTCAGAGGGTTTATTTAATGGTGACTTGTCTAGTGCTTCCTCAATGATCAAGATTGATTCATTTTTTTCTTTAAATGGAGAGTGATTTTTTATAGAATTATAAATGTTATATTCTATTTTTCTTCCATCAAATTCCATAGTTAAAAGCCCGCTAGATACATCGATTTTTGAACTAGCAGTTTTTAAGAATGGTCTCCCTAATAAAATAGGGACTTCATGTCTATTACTCTCCATTTCAATCACATAAAAATCAGCAGGGAACACTAGATCGCTCACCGAGACAGGTACATCTTCCACCACCCCTTTTGGAGAAATAGTTGATCCATCGGCTAGTTGGATTATGACATCGGTTTTCTTTATAGGGCCAAGGTTCAAGGAATTATAAAGAGTATAGGGGATCACGTTAATTGATGCCCCTAAGTCTAACATGGCCCCAAAAGTGGTGTCTCCTAGCTTGCATGGTATAGTGAACATGCCTGGGTCAGTGCATTTTTTTGGAAGTTTCTTTTGAAAAACTGCCGAGACATGTTCACTAATTTCAATTTTCTGTTTTCTCTTTAAATTTGGGGTCCTCTAGATTGTGCATAATTCTTTTAAAAATTTCGCAAATCGAGGGACACTTTTAATTGAGTTGAGGAGGGGGATATTTACCTCGCATTTGGCGAATGTCTCGTACATGTCTTTGTCATTTTTCAGCGGCCTTGTCTCCCTCAATGCTTCGGGAAAAGGGGGTTGTGGTTCGTATGATGACACCGGTGGACTCTTTGTGTCCATCTCTTCCGGTTGCTCTTCCTCTTGAATATCTTCCTCTTCATCCTCCTCTTTTTCTTGCACTTCTTTTCCGCTTCTCAACATGATAGCATTAACATGTTGTCTTGGATTTTGTTCTGTTTGAGAAGGGAGCTTTCCGGAATCTTTTGCTTCAAGCCTGCTTACGGCTCCAGCTATTTGACTCACTTGGCTTTCCAAGTTTTGAATGCTAGACTTGGTCTCATGCTGAAATTGAACCATGTTTTGTTGCATGGTTGAGACATTTGAGGTGAGTGCTCGGATCATGTCTTCGGTGGACATATTTGAGCTTGAAATTTGGCCTTGGTGATTTGGGAAAGATTGTTGCAAGGGCTGACTTTGTTGTGGTTGAGGGTTCCCATATCTCAAATTCGAGTGATCTCTCCACCCGAAATTGTAGGAGTTAGAGTGTGGATCGTACCTCTTTTGTTGATGAGTTTGGAAACCCAAAGCATTGACTTGTTCTTCTTGAAGAGTTGGACAAGAATCGGTTGGATGCCCTTGCTGTGTGCATTGCCGCAGACCTTGACCTCTTGGTTTCTAGGATTTAAAAGGAAATCCTTAACCAAAGAAGTCAAGTCGGCCATTTGACTTTCCAAAGATGAATATGATTCCGCTGCGGCAACTTTTCGGATTGAGGACCGCTCGGTGTAATGCCTAGAATTCTCGATCAACTCCGAGATGAGGTTTCTTGCTTGAGAGAGTGTTTTGTTGACAATACCCCCTCCGCATGCTGCATTAACCATTCGTCTATCATGCTCCGCAAGACCATTATAAAAATAAAGAATGAGGTCTTGCTCAGTATATCCATGGTATGTACAACTAGCACAGAGCTTTTTGAAGCGCTCCCAGAATTCATAAAGTGATTCATCATCACCTTGTTCGATATTGCTTATTTGCTTCTTTAAAGAGGACGAGACGTAGGCGGGATAGTACCTTTCCAAGAAGCATTTCATCATTGCCGCCCATGTGTCTATGCTTCCCGAAGGAAGATAGAAAAGTCAATCATTTGCGGTGTCTTTAAGTGAGAATGGAAAAGTCCGCAGTTTGATTTGTTCTTCCGTCACACCGTTTGGACACATGCTTGTGCAAACGATGTGAAACTCCGAGAGGTGTTTGTTCAGATCTTCTCCTCTCAGGCCATGGAAGGATGGCAGCAGATGAATGAGCCCAGATTTTAGCTCAAACGTATTACCCTCATCAAGAGTTGGGAAGGTGATACATAAGGGTTGTTGATTCATGTTTGGAGCTGTGAGCTCCCTCAAAGTTCTTGTTTCAAGAGCCATAGAGTATGATGTGACCGACATACTCGATCGGGTATGATGTGATTTATGAAGGTTAACAATTGCTTTTGAAGATGCCCAATCGGGTATCCTATATACTCATTCGGCGATCAGGTCCTGCCACATCCAAACACTACATATAAACACACCCCATTTTTCTTCCCATTTAATCATCAATTCTCATATACTCTTAAACTCATTTTAGATAAGTGTTTTCTTTATATTTTTCTAGCATGTTTAGTCTCCAAATGAGGAGCTAAACCCTTCCATCGGTTTTGCTACATTGAAGCTTATATTTTGCAAGTTGTGAGTTGTTTTTTCCAATCATCTTCTTTTGAATATTAATTACATTTCAACTTGTATCTCATATTAATATTTGAGCATTGCTTAAAAGATCAACTAATTTTCTTTTCATATTAAATTATTACTAGAATCGATCGACGGATTCGTTTGTTATTCGGTATTCACTCGACACATACGCTTGTTATTCGCTCGGTCCTTTCGACGGTAGTAACCTTAGATTACTAATGCATGCGTCTTATGGCTAATAATCTAAGGAGATTAATTATATTTATTAAACCAATGAACGCTTGTGTTGAGGTTGTCAATCTTAGTTGATTTCAACTAAAATTTTATTGCTACTATCGGATCAATATAAGGCGTGTGTTCTATATATGGGTTCGTTTGAGAAAGAGTAATGTGGCACATTATTAATATGTATTTATCTGATCTTTTATGTGATTGAAATCATGAAAATGAGATATATGATTTAATACAATTCGTTTGAATGAAAGTAATTGTAGTTGAATTTTTAATGTGCGACATAATTCATAGTTTTTTTGGAATGAATTTTTGCTAGATTATGAACGCTCCAACTTTCCCATTGTTTGTCCCTGGGGAAGAAATATTATTGAGTAATCAAACGGAATTCATTATGAAGGGAAAGATGGAGAATAATTGTTGTTTCACGCGAGGTGGATATGGCTGAGTTAATGAATAAAATGTATACCGTCACTTCCATCAATCGTATGAACAAGTTGGATTTTAAAGTTAAAGATCTCATTCATGGTGGATCATACATGTTGATGTCTCTTGCTGACGACGAAGCCGTTACGGGAATGTGGACTTTAATCACGAATCTTGTTATGCCTACCATGGAGATATATGTTGAAGAAGTGACTGTGTTGCCCATACAACTTGATAACCCGTCATTATCTTGCTCATCCACAAGTGTTTCGATTATTATGAATATGGTTATAGAGGAGAAAGAAAAATGTGTGAACAGTGATGCAACGTTTCTGGATTCACAATGCACTGACGGTGATGCAAATGAAAATGTGAAACATGACACACTAACAGATTGAGATGAAGATGGTGGTGATATTGTAAGTGGCAATGCTTCATCCAGCCACTACACTAAAGTTTATGAGCTCCATGCGGGATTTGATGAATCATGTAGGGGTTGTACAACTTCTAGTCGCTTAGCTGCAGATGGTGAATGCGAGGTTGGGCAAAAGTTTGATGATAAAAAACAACTAATTAACATGGTTAGAGTGTGCTCTGTAAAGAGAAATCAATTTTTCTCAGTTGTAGAGTCTGATAAACACAAATGGGTGGCAGAATGTAAGAGGAAAAATGAATGTGGTTGTACTTGGCAGAGAAGAAACATGTGGCGCTAGATATGCTCACAGTTGTTCGTTATGCAGGTCCTCATATACCTACTTCTTTAGGTAACGTCGATAACAATGACTATGCGGGTATCAGAACTTAGTTTATAACCCGTGAAATTATTGATCTTCTTTGTACTGATCCATCACTAAAAGTTCGCACTATTAGTGAGCTTAGGAAGGAAAAGTACGGTATGTATCTTCGTACAAGCGCAGTTGGTTGGCCAAGCAAAAAGCTATCAGTGAATATTTGGAGATGGGGGGGGGCTCGTATTCTGATTTGCCTCATTTCGTGTTGTCATTACAACATTCAAATTCAAGGACGGTCGTGCATTGATACCCACCTCTCCTTTCTCCATACTTCTTCCAACCAAACACACAAATCATTCACTTCTCTCCAACCAAATATGGCCTTAAAGAAAAATGAGGATAGACTAGGCCTCAAATAGGGGAAGGGTGATGTTTTTAACAATGAGAAGAATAAAAGGTGTTCATTATAGTCCAAATTATACCGAGAGTAGTTGGTAAACATAAAAATTAACACAGCTCTAACTCTCTGATTATAAACGCATACTTAATTGATAGCTTCTTTTTATCTTGTAAACATTCACAATACATGTAGAATTTGGAATAAACTAATGACAAAGATAAATCGTACACACCTCTAACGTTTCTAGCCTCTCTAACAAAAGGATCTCCCAGCCTCTAACTCAACCCTGTCTGTTCTGTTCTGCTCTCCTCACTAGTCACTTGTCCTAAAATGCAAGAAAAGTGAGAAGAGCCTTGTCCTTAAATAGGGGAAGAGTGAAGTCACCTGAATATAATAAGGAATAGAATGAAAGATCTTGATATGCCCATGAAAGGTCATTATTGTGAAAACTATGAGATTAAATAATAAGGTATATACTCCCTCCGTCCCTAATCTTTCTCCCTTTTCGGCTGGGCACATTTATTAAGATAGTGGGATTTGTGTGGTAGAGAGTTGTGCAGAGGAGAGAGAAATGTGTAAGAATGTGTAAGAATGGTTGTGAACCACAAATTTTTTGCTAAAAGGGGGAAGAAGAGATAATTTTGGGACGGACGAAAAAGGAAAGTTTGAAATAATTTAGGGACGGAGGGAGTATTCATTATATATCCGAAAAAACCAAATTTCAAGGGAAATAAAATAAACAATATATGAGAATATGAATACAGCTAGGTTCCTTACTAGGTAGCAAAGCCATTATTATATTATACATTTGTGTTCCCTCAAGTAAACTTACTCAAATAATTTCCATGATCATCTAACTTTATTATTACTCAAGTCTGATCTTAATCTTCAATTACTAAATAATACGAATATATACAAAAGTATTTATATACAAACCTAATAAACTACGTAAATAGAGTAAATAAATAATCCAATCCAGAAAATGTATGAATGGGATTTTTATTATTACAATAATCCAATCCCAGAGCAATTGATCGAGGCAAAGACAACATCAAATACAGATTGTCCAAGGCAACAAGGTACAGCTTAGCTAGCTAGTGAAACCGGCCTTATTCCTTAATCTTTGTCTTGGGTTGGAAGACCGAGTCAAACATTCTAGATTGTTCGACTGCCGGGAAGTCATTTTTTCCGGCGACGTTTCTCTTTCTCTCGGGGAGGTGCATCTTGACGTAGAAATTGAGGAACAGCAGCAGAATGGCGGCGTTGAGGACGGAATTGAAAACCCATGCCCCGATTCCATTGCAGCCGCCTTTCAAGAAATGAAGCAACAGAACTCCGACGTGGCAGAGCAGGTTGCAGCCGAGGAGGACCACCTGGCAAATTACCACGAACGGGAAGCACGCGCTCGGGAGCCCAATCGCCGTCCAGAATCTGTAGCCGTACACGACGGAGTAGATCGATGTGGTGAGCAGAATCGCGAGGATTTGGAAGGACTGGGAGAATTCCAGCCACAGGAAGGACATGAATATGAGAATCGAGTGGTTGAAGATCTGGAATGCGGAGAGCTTCCGGCGCCGGAGAATGGTGAATGATGTCCGGACGGTGTGGAGGAATCTGGACAGGTAGAAGACGTACGACCAGAAGAACACGCGCCCGGAGGCGCGCGTGCCTATGGGGAAACAGAGGAGCCACTGGAAGGGCGTGGTCTTGGAGCGGCGCCAGAACCACCTGGTGTCGCGGATCTCTGCGGCGGCTGAGAGGAGGATCCCGGCGAAGATTGTGAGGGAGATTAGCGCCATCGCGAGGGAGTGGAGGGCGGGGATCGGACCCAGAGGCAGGGGGCGGCGGTGGCGGAAGAGGAGGAGGAGAAGGAGGTGGAGGAGGAGAGAGGAGGCGACATAGGCGGCGATTGCGGCGAACACGAACGACCACGTGCTGGCCCACAATTTGCTGTGGCTCCAACGGAAGGTGAGAATCGAAGGGTGCTCCGACAGGAAATATACGAGGCTCTGAATCATTGTCGATCGTCGCCGCCGCCGGCAATGCTCTCGTCGTTCACCCGGACGGGAACACCGCCAACAAAATTCAGCGCAAGGAGTCAATTCCACGCCGTTTCCTTAATTGCGAAACTTTGGAGGGCTCGATGACGAAATGAATACGGAGGATATTTTAAAATGTAAAATCTCGTTTAACTAAAATTAGATAATCGCAAGGCTGAGTGTTATGTTACTTATGTACGGAGTATAATGTATTAGGTGTACTTTTTTCCATTCTATGAAATTGTAAAAAAAATTATTCTAGGTCCAAAAAGGTGGAATCTCCCATTCCAGGAGTCCCCCATACCCCGACCCGACAGGATTTTTGGGAGGATGTTAATCACGGTGACTCAGTCGGCCCAATGATGGTAGGTCTTTTTTCCCGTGCGCACCAGAGGCTCAGCCTTATTTCAGGTTCTGTGACCTCCACACGGCCGCTGCGGGTTTCGAACCTTGGTCACTTGGTCCAAATTTCCCACTACTGAACCAACTGAGCTACCCGTGCGGGTAAAAAAAATTGTTCTATACATTATCTAGAGTGTGAAATTTTAAAACAAATGATATTACGCCAAAAAAAACATTATGCTTTTTTTATGTAAAACATCAAAATACTCCATATCACTTTGTAATGTATTTTCAGTACATGATTAAATATATCAATTATAAAGATCATATATCTACATTGCATCTATTAGATTCCTTTAATTTTTCTGTTCCCATTTTGGGCCATTTTATTTTGCTTTGTTATTTTCTCTCATTTTATATATATATATATATATATATATATATATATATATATATATATATATGTATATGTATATATATATGTATATGTATATAAATATGTATATGTATATATATATATATATGTATATATATATATATGTATGTATATATGTATATATATATATATGTATATATGTATATATATATATGTATATATGTATATATATATATACATATATATGTATATATATACATATACATATATATATATATATATATATATATGTATATATATATATACATACATATATATATATGTATATATATATACATACATCTATATATATATATATATGTATGTATATATATATATATATATATATATATATATATATGTATGTGTATATATATATGTATGTATATATATATATATATATGTATGTATATATATATATATGTATGTATATGTATATATATATGTGTATATATATATATATGTGTGTATATATATATGTATATATATATATATATATATATTGATAGAGTATATCTAGAGAAAAGTGAGAGCTAGAGAGAGAAGTGCAATAATATGCTTCAATAGAATGAATTTGTAACCCCTATAACTACTCCCAAGGGGAGTATTTATAGAGAAAATACGGGCTGGGCTCCCAAACCTTGGGCTTGGGAGGCCCGTTTACAACTGGACCGCTACTGGGCCGAATACAAAGCCATTAATGGGTTGTACAAATAAGTAAGTGTAGAATCCGGTTCTGTGGAGTCTTCGTGGCCGACGAGGGCGTGGCCGACGAGCGCACGGCCGACGAGGGCGCGGCCGACGAGGGCACCCAGGTTCCTGGGCTTCAGGACCATAATCTGAGTTGGCACCTTTTCGGCCGACGGGGGCGTCTTGGCCGACGAGGGCGCCACTCTGTGTCTTGTGCTTTCTGTTCTTCCGAGTATGTGGGTCCGGGGGCTCAGACCCATATACTCCATCAGGAGTCCCCCACTCTCTAAGCTGAGACGTAGACGAAGTGAAGGAGAGTAGATTCCCGTGCTTTTGGCCGATGCGGGAATTCCCAGGCCGTCAGCTGTTGCGGCGTTGGTGCTGTTTCCATTTTGGTGATCCTGTTCTGTGCCTTGGCCGTTACCTGCTTCAATGGTGGCCGTTGGAGGCACGTTTTCCCTTTCCTGGACGTTGATGGTTGAAGTTTATGTTTGGGCCGATGAGGCCATTGAGGTTGAACCTTGCTTTGAGGACGATGGCGTCATTTCCTTTGGGTGGCCGATGGGGGTGTTTGCGCACTCTTTTTGGCCGTCGCTGGTTGGCCTTCGTGTTCTTGGCCGAAGAGCCCATCATGATTAACTGTTGGCGGAGGACGATGAGTGTCCTTGCCTTAGGTGGCCAGTTGGCCGTTGCTGATGACGTTGTGTGCCTTTGGTCGACGAGGCGCAGTGTGATACATGGCCGATGTGACCATGCTTTGTTGGTTACAGTCATGTTCTTTGTATTGTTCCTTTTTGTTTTGTTGAGGCCGGTGTAGTCCCCCAGTCCCCCACTGCTTCAGGCCGAAGAGTGTGAGGGGTGAAGGAGTTGGTTGAGTCCCTGGCCGAAGCGGCCTCTCCGTAGTCCCCCTGAATCCAACCCTCATGGCGATTTTCTGGCCAAGGTAACCCTGTGGGAGAACCCTTGTGCGCAGATCGCTTGTAGAGGGTTATCATCAAGGGTCATTACGAGGAGCCGATGGTTGTGGGTTCTTGGTTCCTTTGGTTCTGTGACCGTTATGGGCGTTCATTACGTTCCTGGCCGTTGTCGTCTCCTTATTGTTGGCGTTTGTGAACCTGGCAAGCAAATATGACGTTGTGGGCGCTTGCTGGCACTTGTGAAGCCGGCAAGTGTATAGGCCGTAGAGTCTGTTTTGCCAGTGGGCTGTTGACATGTAGCTTGGCCCGTTGGTGACGTGGTGGCCTCCCATTGGTGGCCGTTGATGTGGCCATTGGGAGGGTGCCACGTGTAGTGACCGTTGGGTGGGGGGGTTCTATAAATACCCCTCCCCCTCCGACCAAAAATCTCATTTGCATTCTGAATTGTCGAAGTGTTGGCCAATTTTCTAGAGAGATAAACTCCCAAGCTTGTTCTTCGTGTTCTTCGTGTTCAAGGTTAGTGTTCATCGCAATCTTCTGCACTTTTCATACTTTGCTTCCTAGGCTAGTGATCTAGTGTTAGGCGTTTGAACACCCTTAGATCCTAAGTTATTCTCCTTAGGCTCGTAGTAGTAGTTATGGTGAAGAGTTTGAACGAAGACTACTATCCGTACGACGACCAGCCCTCCACTAGGTCACTCGACTATGAGGTGCTCGAGGAGTTCGAGGAGGAGATACAACACTTAAGTCCCTACAAATCCGAAGAGCCGGTGGACGACGAAGTCGAGGACGAGGAGTCCGCATCGTCTTCAAGAGGTGAGGACGCAGGTGCGTCCCGAGTGGTGGACGGGGCGTCCACTTCCGCTGTCATTCCCTGCCCGAGGCCGGTGTCTGCCGTGAAGGGAGCAGATAAGCCGAAGAGGGTGAGGAGGCCGAAGAGTGGGCCTGGCGTCTCCTACCTGGATCTCACAAACATCTTTCTGATCAAGCCGGAGAGCAACGTGGCCGACTACTTGGTTGCCCAGATGTACGTGGGGCCGTTCGGGCGGGTTAGGGCACCCAGGCCGACGGACCATGTTCTTCATCCGCCACCGGGATACTTTGGAGTATACCCGATGAGTTTTGTCAAGGGGCTGAGGTTTCCCCTTCACCCCTTCATTACTGAATACCTTGACATGGTGGGGCTCCCTCCGGCCTTGCTGACGCCGAACAGCTATTCTTTGATGGTGGGGTTTTTGCTCCGCTGTGAGGAGCTGGGCTACAGGCCGACGACGGCCCTTTTCATGAATCTGTATCAGATCGGCCGAGGAAGCCACAAAAACTGTGCGGCCTATGCTACTCTTCAACAGCTGCCGAAGAAGAGGAGCTTCACGGACTTGCCTTCGTCCATTCATGGGTGGAAGAGCAAGTTCGTTTTTGTATCCCTTGGTGAGAGTGGCACCGAGTTTCCCTCTCTCGGCCATACCGGGAGGTTTAATCTGCATGATCCGCCGAAGAGCTCTATCTTGGACGCTCAGGTGGAGGCTTTCCTGGAAGGGGGGCCGAGGAGCGTGAAGGATTATATTACTGAATACAAGATGACCGCCCTCGGCTTCTTGAGATACCATGTGTATGGTGATAAGGAGGATGACATCCAACTCTGGCCGAGGATGACCACCACCTTCGAAGAGGCCGACGGCCCGGACTTGGGCATTCCTGCTGAGGCCGATGGTATTATTTCTTCGGCTTTCTGTCTTTATGATTTGTTCTTTTGCCCTGCTAATCTGTTGTTTTTCCTTTGTGTAGATTTTGTCATGGACCATCGCTCCATCATGGCTATAGCAAAGGCCAAGGCGGCCGAGGAGTTGGCCGCAGAGGCGGCCGAGACGGCCAGACGTGCCGCGGCCGAGGGAGGTGGGGCTACTGCTGGTGCGGCCCCAAAGCCTGCCCAGTCCAAGAAGAAGAGGCCGGCCACTGACGGCCAGAAGAAGTTGACTGAGGCCGGCCTGAACGTTGCCAAGAAGACAAAGAGGGCATCGTCTCCTTCCCCTGCTACCGAGGCCGGTACTCTGACTGTCCCAAGTGTGGACGATAGTGGTCCCCTCGTGGACCTTACTGCTGCTCCAAGCGATGCCGCCCAATCGCTCCCTATCGTCCAGGAGCCACGGACGAAGAGGGCTGGCAAGGAGATCGCCGCTGCCACCTACCAGAAGGTGTGGAATACCCCGTCGGCGGGGGTGTGTTTGACGATGCTGTCCTCGGCCACGATGTGCTGGCCCAGGCCATGCCGGCCAAAGATCGGGCTTACCTTAAGAAGCTCGGGGACGTGAAGGTGTACGAGGGCGGGATGGACCTCCTCGTCCAAGTAAGTTCTCTGCCTTCTAATGTGTAATTTTTCTCGTCGTCCGAGTGGAATTATTTTTCTGAGCCTTTGTTTGCCCTTTTTTCTGCAGAGTGTCTTTATGCTCATGGAGAGCCACAAGAGGAAATACCGGGAGATAGCTCATCTGAAAGAGCTTGAGCAGAAAGCTGCCTCGGCCGACGAGGCGGTAGCTTGCCTGGATCGGCTCCGGGAGGATGCTAAGGCCTTGCAACAGAGGGCCGATGAAGACGCTGCAGCCAGGGACGATGCCCTGGCCAAGCTTGAGGAGAGCCAAAGGGCGCTTGAGGCCGAGCGGCGCAAGAACGAAGAAGCCGTGAAGGCGAAAGCTGAGGCCGAGGCCGCCACTGTGAAGGCTGCTGATGAGGCCGTTGAGCGGTTCCTGGCCGAGGGGTGGAAGGCCGATGAGTGGCTCCCCTGGTGCTATGAAGTTGTTGCCGCCAGGCTTGAAGATTGGGGGATGAACTCCCCCGCCGGCCAGGAGTATTTCAGCAGAGAGATGGCCGTGTACTGTAACATGGGCCAGGAGCGGATGCAAAGGCTCCTGTGTCGGCGGCTATCTCGTGCTCTGAAGGCCATGAATTACACATCTGGGTGGGCTAGACGGAACTTGAAGCTTCCAAAGCTGATGAAAGATCCTGAAGATCAGGCCAAGCTTCCTCTGTCGGAGCGCGAGTCCCCCATTGAGAGTTCCGGCCTCGGCGAGCCGGATTACACGGAGTTTGATTTCTTGGACGATGCCACCAGTGTTGCGGCTGCCGGAGGCCAGGAGGCTGAGGCCGAGGAGGGAGCCGAGGACGTTGAAGAGCCAGCCGCGGATGGAGGTGCTCAAGAGGCTTGATCGGCTATACCCCGCTCCCTTGTAATTAGTTTCGCTTTTTTGCCGTATTGATGTAATGGCCGAAGCGCCCCCCTTTGTACTGAATTGAATATAAATGAAAATTTTTGCTGTCCTGATCGGCTTTGAATTCCTTGTTTGCTTATTGCCTTTTGTCATTTCCATTCTGAAATTTGTCTAAGTGTCAAGGTTACAACTTGGGTCACCCGCGAGTGTCCGCTACGTCCGGGAGGTAGTCCATCCTGTCCAGTGGCCTGGTCGGCCTGTTCGTCGTTGCTTTACTATCATAACACTTAAGATTTTTTTCAATAATTTCCTAAGTGTTTTGGGTTCACTTAGCTGCTTTTTTCCCGGTCTGGTGGCTTGGTCGGCCTGGCCGTCGTTTCTTTACTATCATAACACTTAGGATTTATGCAAAAAATTTCCTAAGTGTTTTGAGTCCACTTAGTTGCTTTCTTCCCGGCCTGGTGGCCTTGTCGGCCTGACCGGTGTTGATGTAGTATCATAACACTTCGGATTTTTTTAGAAATTTCCTAAGTGTTTTTGGGTCCACTTAAGTGCTCCCCTTTCCGTTCCTGACCGTGGTGTCCGTTCCGTCCTGGCGTTGTCCCCCTCTTCTTTGTTAGAATTTTTCTAAGTGTTTAACTTCAAGTGGATGGGTGTTCTTATCGTCCTGGTATTGGATTTCTCCTCATTGTTGACAAATGCTTGGGGAGATTTCCCAGGTGTTGAATTAATGTTGTTGTCGGCCCATGAAGGTCGGCCTGCATCCTTGTGTTGTGGCCGATAAGGGCACCTTCGCCTTGCTCTTTTGAACTTAAAATTTTTTTCTAAGTACACATGCAAAGGCGTAGGTAGCTAACGGCCTTGGAGTATACAGGTACCCGCTTCGTCTAGAGTTCCTTCATTTAAGTACTTAGAGAATTTTCCAAGTAGAAATGTAAGGCATGGTTCCTTCTTTGTGGTACCGCTGCCGACTAGGAGGTGGCCCTACCATCATCAGCCAAGGTCTGGCTTTGTGGCCGATGAGGGTGCCCCTTGCTTTCCCCAAGAGAAGGCCCTACCTTTGTCGGCTAGCCATAGTTCCTTCTTGAGGAACCTTTTTTTCTCAGAATTTTCTCTAAGTGTTTGGTAAACACTTGAACAAATTCCCAAAGAACTGTCGCTTGACCAACACCCTTGGTTCCAGTGCCTGTATCGGCTATCCGGGATGCTGTGGCAAGTAGGGATTGTTTCTTGATTGCTTGATTCTTCCGCGGGTGTGATAAGTGCCCGCTTCGTCCTGGTCATCCTCAGGATTGTGATTCGTTGTTTCATACCAAGCGTTGGTGCTTCAAAGGACTGTGGCCGATGAAGGTTACCTCTCGCGTGTCACCCAACCGATTCGGTTAGGGTTTTATAGGCGTATGTTTCGGCCGTGACCATTCCCTCGTGGTGTGTGGACGTGTCGTCCATTGTACCTGTCAGTGGTACTACACTTGTGTTCAACTGATATGTACTTGGCCAAATTGGGCCTGAATTGTGGGGATTGTATTTTTCATTGCTCGAGGCCGGCTAGTGTGCACGGCCGTCGGCTTCCCTCTTTTTCCCTTATATATATATATATATATATATATATATATATATATATATATATATATATATATATATATATATATATATATATATATATATATATATATATATATATATATTGTTTTCGGGGAATATCCTTCTTTCAGGCTTCGGCCGAAGGGTGTGCTCGTCCTTCGGCCGGTTCGGACTTCGTTTATAACGTCCGTGATCTCAGGGCGGGTCTCGTCGCCTATTTATGACGCGGGCTAGACTTTTGGTCGGTTTCCAACGGCTGTCGTTGCCCATCCCTGAGTGTTGGGATTTTGTCACCTCGGCCATGATTTCAGGCCTGTCGTCCTGCGATCTGGCGCGTGGACGACGCGGTGAGCTTCCCATTTCAAGACGTGGGCCGTTTGCGGGCCCCTCGTCCTGGGGACATCATCGGCCATACCTGAGCGTTTCACTTCTAGGCTTACAGGGCTAGGACGACGTGCTCTCTCAGCTAGGCCTGAGCCCTTCGCTGATACAAAATACAATGGAGTGCCTGAGCTTGTCGCTCGTAGGCTGCAAATGCAAGGGGCCACGTCGGCCATGCCTGAGCCTTTCGCTCTAAGGTGGCCGACGGGGGCACCTGCTTAATGTTTTTACTTTAATTTCCAGAGAAAAAATCAAGAGGAACATGATTTTATTCATAAGTGGCTCGAGGCCGAGGGTGGCGTTCAATCAGTAACCCGTTAAGGGGTGAGGACTTCGTTGTCTGCACCTCCTTCGGATTACTGATAAAACTTCACCAGATGGTGTACATTCCACGTTCGTGGTACATTGGACCCATTCGGGCGTTTAAGCTTGTATGTGTCGGGTTTTACCACGGCACTGACGATGTAGGGCCCTTCGTATTTCAATGCAAGCTTGCCACCCTCTGTCGGCTGGCTTGCTTCCCTTCGGCGGAGGACGTAGTCCCCCACCTGAAATTCCCGGGAACGTACCTTGGCGTCATAGTATGATTTTACTTGACGCCGGTAGTTCTCTGCTCGGACGTAAGCTTGCTCACGCCTCTCATCGACCAAGTGCAGGTCAATCTTCATGCTTTCTTCGTTGGCGTCAGGCTCGTACTGTTCCACCCGTCGGCTGGGGATGGCAACTTCCGTTGGGGCCTTTGCTTCAAAGCCGTAGCACAGGGCGAAAGGCGTTTCACCTGTCGCCCTCCTCGGCGTGGTTCTGTAACACCACAGGATGTTGGGGAGCTCGTCGACCCAACTACCTCCTGCGGCCTCGAGTTTCTTCTTCAGCCCCTCCATGATTGTTCTGTTGGCGTTCTTGACCTGCCCGTTGCCCTGAGGATAGGCAACGGAGGAGAAACGGTGCCTCACCCCAAACTCCCGGAGGAGCTCCTGGAAAGGGGCTGCCTCGATTTGGGTGCCGTTGTCTGATATAATCTCCTGGGGGACGCCGAAGCGTGTGATGATGTTCTTGTAAACAAATTTTTGGCATCTGGCCCCCGTGATGCTGGCCAAGGGTTCCGCCTCGACCCACTTGGAGAAGTAGTCGACCGCGACGATGATGTAGCGGTTGTTCCCGGCGGCTCTGGGCAGGGGGCCGACCAGGTCAATCCCCCATCTAGAGAATGGAATTGCGGTGCTGACGGGGGCGTAGTTGACGGCTGGCCGACCAGGGGCCTTCTAGAGTACCTGGCATGTGGTACACTTCCTGGCCAGGTCAGCGCAGTCTCGTGCCATCGTCGGCCAGAAGAAACCCTAGACAACGAGACGCCGGGACATGCTGAAAGGGCCTTGGTGCGAGGAGCAGACACCACAATGAACTTCTTCCATGGCCACGTCGGCCTCGTCCTGGTGGAGGCATCGAAGGAGAGTGCCATTATAGGATCGTTTGTAGAGTTTGCCATCTTCAATGGTGTAGCTTGGGGCCCTGAGTTTGGCAAGTTTGGCCCTCTCCTCGTCCGGGGGGAGCTCCCCCGTCGTGATGAAGGTGACGATGTCAGAGATCCAGTCCTCCGGTCGCTGTTGGACGCACAAGACGGGGCTGGCATGGATGCTGGACATGCTCAACTCCTCGATCTTGGCTAGTTGGGAGATGTGCTCCAGGGTGTCTGAGCTGAGTTTGGAGAGGATGTCGGCCTCGGCGTTCTCGGCCCTTGGGATCTGTGTGATCTCGTGGGTTTCGAACGCCTTCAGCAACTCCTCTGCTGCTTGCTTGTACTGCTTCATCCGGCCTTCCTTTGTTTCGTACGATCCCTCCACCTGGCCCACCACCAGTTTGGAGTCGCACTTGATTTTGAGGTGCTTGGCCTTGAGGCCGGCGGCGAGTCTGAGACCGCTAAGGAGGGCCTCATACTCGGCTTCGTTGTTGGATACCCTGAAGTTGAAGCGGATGGCATAGTAGGCTCTGAATCCTTCAGGGGATATGAGGACGACGACGCCGCCGCATGATTTCACGGCCGACGAGCCGTCAGTGAACAGGGTCCATATATCGTCCGGCTCCGGCCCGGGGTTGGCGACGACCGTCTCCCTTGCTGTGCACTCAATGACGAAGTCGGCCAAGGCTTGCCCTTTGATAGATGGCCTTGGCTTGATCTCAATTTGAAACTGGCTGAGGAAGATTGCCCATTTCACCATCCTAGAGGAGCTGGTGGGGCTCCTCATGAGTGCGCCGATAGGCTGCTGGGTCAGTACATGGACGG